CCTGGGTATCTTTCGTGTATACATGTTATTAAACTTCTGCTTATTTTCCAGTGTTAATCTGTTTTTTCATTATAGGAGGTGTCTCAGCCAAGAATCTAGAAGGGTAGTGAGGAAATACTTTTTCCTCCTCCACAGTTACAAGAAAAGATTCAAGATAGTTATATATGAGAACTACATATAACCCCAAGCTCCCAGTCATCCAAGCTAGACAAGACATGAAAGTAAAACTAAACTTTATAAAATTACAAGTCTTAAGAAGGCAATTGTTTTTTGAAAATGCATCTTCAATTGTTGAGTAGAGAAAAATGTATTGAAAAGAGAGAGAAAAGAAATGTATAATGCAGCTAAAAACTTCAAAACATAAAAGCAGAAAAGTATTTCAGTCTAACAAATGAAAATGCCAATATTCCTGCTTTGTATATTATCTTAGAAGAAATGAGTGTATTTTTTAGTAGGAGCATGTCTCTAGTCCAGTGCGTTTGTGTGAGAAGGACCTTTGAATGAAAAGTGGCATTTGCCTACCATTCTCCATTTAATCTCCAAAGATGTTTAAAACTAATTATAAAATATCATTATGGGTAATTGAGTCGATCTATTTCTAAAATTAGGAAAATAAATAATTTAGATTATCCAAATGAATATCAAATGCAGTGGCATAAAAAAAATCACAAGATAAAGAATCTATTAAGAAACAAATCTAACACCATTCTGAATAATTTGCATCAAAATCCATTGTGAATCTATTGCAATAATTTTTATACTGTCAAGATATATTTTTTCTAACAATTAACTTATCTAAATGTAATGCCATAAAGTATGAAAATGTTCTAGGTTAAACTTACTTTCATTTGTACCTATGGGATGTACATGTGCCTACCTAGGTTATTAAAAGGAAGTAATAATAATAGTTAATAGAGGTAGTATTTGTGTGCCTTGCATGCACTGAACTTTTTTTTAACAAATAATTTCTTATCAATTCAATGAAGTGGATGTTATTACTCTCCCATTTTAAAGATAGAGAAGCCAAGGCACAGAGGAGTAAAAGGCTCAGTTCTACAGCCAGTGCATGGGACCTGATTTGAACCTAGATCGTTTAAAGAACTTGTGCTTGGGGACACTTGGGTGGCTCAGTTGGTTAAGCATCTGCCTTCGGCTCAGGTCATGGTCCCAGGGTCCAGGTCTTGAGTCCCACGTCAGGCTCCCTGCTCAGTGGGGAGCCTGCTTCTCCCTCTTCCTGCCCCTTTCTCTGACAAATAAATAAATTAAAGGGGAAAAGAAAAAAAGAACCTGTGCTCTTAACTGCAAACAGGATTTGCAATCAGGCAGACCCGATGTTACCCTCTCAGTAGTGCCCTGCTCTTGGTCCAGGTGTTTAACTTCTTTACGTCTCAAAACTGGGATATGTAAAATAAGGATAATAATGTATATCTCACACAGCTGTTGTGAAAGCACAGTGAGATGATGAACATGAACAAGCTCAGCCTGGTGCTCGCCGTCACTGCTGCCACGTGGCCTAAACTCAGGTAGTTTCAAACGTCAGGTTCTTTCTGTAAACATGTGTAAGCTCAAGCTGTGGGAGCCTGGTTAGGCAAAGGCTATTTTCCTCATCCCAACCTCAATATTGGATGCTATGCTACTATGAAAGCAAGTCTTAGGGGCGCCTGGGTGGCTCAGTCGGTTAAGCGTCTGCCTTCGGCTCAGGTCATGATCCCAAGGTCCTGGGATCGAGCCCCACATCGGGCTCCCTGCTCGGCGGGAAGCCTGCTTCTCCCTCTCCCACTCCCCCTGCTTGTGTTCCCTCTCTCGCTGTGTCTCTCTCTGTCAAATAAATAAATAAAATCTTAAATAAATAAATAAATAAATAAATAAATAAATAAATAAATAAATAAATAAATAAATAAATAAAAGAAAGCAAGCAAGTCTTAGACAAATTCTGCTAAATGTCTAACCATTCATTAGCAAGCAGTTACAAAAACAGTTCTGTTCTGTCCCTAGATGCTCCAACCATTCACCTGTATGAGAGGCTTGCCCAAGACCCGTTCTCAAGTCTGGATCAGGTTCTTCAGATAGAGCAGGGGACCGGGGTCTCAGTAAGAGAGTGTGCTTGGCTGTTTCTCTTAAACCTCCATGCAATGGCGGAAGGGCATGTTCAATCTTCCTACGCACCATCCATTTTGAATTGTGTTCATTTTGCCAATGGAAATTGTTAACATCCTTACCCTAGTTAACAAACTCTCTCGGGTATCCGTTTTCATAACTGTATGTGAAATGCTCCAAGCACCTTTGGACTATGGATTCCTGATTAGAGTCCTTCAGTGCTAACTAATGGTTCCTAGGATGTGGATTAGAGTTAACTCGTACACACGGGCATCCATACCACTGGCTTATACCAAGTTATTATTGTGTGAGGTATTATCACACAGGCAATATAACCGTGTCGTGTTTGTGTTAGGTTGATTAATATTATAATCCTTCCCCCTTTCTGGACCCTTTCCCTTTGTCCATCCCCACCCACCTCCCATCCTCAATGTAGTAGGTGACTAGCACCTCTTGAAACCAAAATATTTACAGATTCTAATTAGGGAGGCATGGGGATATAGGGCATTCTACATCATTGCTCCCCAAGAAATAAGAAAGTTCATCATGGATCTAAAAAAAAAAAAAAAAAAGTGTCAAGAACAACACAGAGCAAGGCTGAGATTTTTCCCATAATATATACAATTATCTCCAGCTATCCAAACTGTTGTGGTTTTTTTGTTTTTTGTTTTTTTTAGAAGGTTCCTGAGTAAAACATGCTGGGATAGAGAGCCCTACCTCATCATTCATTGACAAGCCTTTAGTCTTCTATCTATGCATGGGTTTATCAGCAGTGAGTATGTGTTAATTTGTGTATGATTATAGAGATCCCATGGTTCTCCAAAATAAAAATGTTTTAGTTTTTCTTTCTGATTAAAAGAGATATTATATGCTCACTGTAAAAATATTTCCATAATACAGAAAAGACTAAGGAAAATACAAAAAAATCTAAACTGCCGCCATTCAGAGATAAACACTGAAAACAAAGCTCTTTCTTAACATACATTACTTTTCAAAGAGACCATGGCAAAGACCCAGGGTAAAGAGAGGAAAGACTCAGCAAAGTTGTAAGCCTTCTTGAAAAGAAGTGGAGGCTTGCATTTGCTCCTAGCTCAAAGTTCCTGTTCTGAGTAAACCACTTCCGTGGGCTTTTGTTGTGAAAAGTTTTGTTGTGGAAATTAGGACCTTAGAGGGTTTTAGCTCCGAGGAGCTAATTTACTTTGCATAATAATGTAAAAATGGTCTCAGTAATGGCAGACTTTCCCTTTTGCTTATTATTTTCAAGAAATTAGAGAAAAAAATTGGATTAGTTCCTTACAGTACCAAGACAATATGGCTTACTCTTGGAAGGTATATGTATACAATGGGGATTGTTCAAACGGTCACAAAATGTCACTGAATTTCCTCGTTTGCAAGGTTTTATTTTTCTTGTTCTGGTGTTCAAAATTCAGTCTAGCTCATAGACTCAGAAGAAGGTGGGAAGCTGCAGCAGGCCTGCCTCCCACCTCAAGCTGCAGGAAGGTCTCACTGTTGACGATCACTGCCTTGATCAAAAGGTTGCCTCTGAGCCCTAGACTAGGGGTCTTAGGTCAATAGACTGGAAAGGAATGCTAGTACAAATTAGGCCGCCTGGACACAACTGAGATTATATATGAGTACTTTGTGAGGTTATATTGGGGGGCAATAATTCCACCTTAGAGTTCTGTAATGTTTCCTTTTAATAATTTCCATTAAAGGGATGCCTGAGTGGCTCAGTCAGTTAAGCGTCTGCCTTTGGCTCAGGTCATGATCCCAGGGTCCTGGGATCGAGTCCTGCATTGGGCTCCTTGCTTAGCAGGGAGCCTGCTTCTCCCTCTGTCTGCCACTCTCCCTGCTTGTGCTCTCTCTTTCTCTGACAAATAAATAAAATTATTATAAATTATTATAAAATTATTTCCATCTTTCTCTAAGCCAAGGACCCTCTTGGCTGGTCCTGTGGGACCCCCTCTGGGTACCTGGACCTGGCCTGCCTGCATCAGATATGTGGTCCCTGTCCCCTCCAGTTCTCTTCACCTCCTTACCCTTTTTTCACTTGATCAACACCAGTCTGACTCCAGCTCAGCAAAGACGTCACTGCTGTTTAGGAAGCCATTTTGACCCTTCCCAGGATGGGTTAAGCATCCTCTGTAAGTCCTTAGCCCCGAGTGCTTTCTTCTACCTAGACCTTCAACTGTCTCTGTCCTTGTCACCACTGTCTCACAGCTCCTACTTCTCTGAACTCCTGGAGGGCGGGTGTTTATCTCATATTACGAAACTGAATACCCAGAGCCGAATTTAATACGTGTTAATATATTAGCTAGTTCATTGGATCCTCCCAAATCCTCTTTGATTAAGGAGCTAGAAAAAGTTTTATTGGCCTCATTCAGTAAATAGGCAGCTGAGGATTACAGTTTGGTAACTTGTCCAAGTCTTACAGCTAGTGAGGAACAGAACTTAAACTAAAATGTGAAATTGAGACGAGTGCTCTCTCTACCATTTCTCTCTCTCTCTCTGCCCTCTCTTTCCCTTGGTTACACACACACACACACACCCCATCGTGAATGAATTCTATGTCAAGTTAAGATGTTAGCCAGATATTCCAACCGATATGACTCTTACAAAGTTTTTGAAAAGCATTTTGCAAGACGTTTATGGAAGAAATATGTTTTTATTTAACCACCAGAACCTCCGTAAAAATTGAGACTGTTATTTCTGGAGATTCTAGAATTTCCCTTGGAAATATCCCCTAACTCAAAAGAAAGTCTGATGCAGCCTCACAAAAATCTATGTTATAATAGGTGCTGTGTTACTGAGAACCACTGCAAAGGCGGGGTTAAAAGCCCCAAAGTGGCGGCAAACCATATATGGAGAAACCCATTTCTTTAAACTTGTGATGAACTCATGTTCTGCTTTTTGTTTTTTTCTCGAAGCTGAAGTCAGTAAAACCGAGAGAGGCACACACGTCAGGACCAGCCGTGGCTCTGGGGTCCACCCTCCAGGCAGACCGAGCATGCGAGTCACACTTGCTATGACAGTTTGGATCGTTTCTGTAGTTCCCAGTCACGCATATACAGCAAGCAGTTTGCCAGATACCGAAAATGAAGATTTCATCAAAGACTGTGTTCGGATTCATAACAAGTTCCGATCAGAGGTGAATCCAACAGCCAGTGCTATGCTATACATGGTAAGGAAAAGAGCAGCATTCGTGGCATAAGTAAGTAAAAGACAACTAATGTGTACTGACGTGGGAGGTAAATCCTTGCTAACCCGGGATGCTCTTTTTTTTCATCGTGATTCATGCGTGCAGTAAATTCATAATCTGTGATCAAAATGAATCCGGTTCAGCTCTGTTGACTCATCTCTTGCAAGCAGGCTCAGCAAGTACATTTTATTTCTCTCTTTTAGATACTTCCTTTCCTCTGGTCATAGATAGATTTTGCTTTTTTTTTTTTTTTTTGTCACTTTCTTCCCTGTTAATTTTTGAAGGTTTTGTTGTTTGTTTATGTTGTCTCTAAGTTTGCCTTTTTTTTTTTTTTTTTTTTTTTTGCTGCTGGCAGAGTATTGGCTTTCTCAGGAAGGCAGCATGGCATCTCAAGAAAGGATGTAATTTTGAATCGGTCAGGCTTGGGTTTGGGCCCAGCTCTGTGGCTGTGAGCAGGTTTTTAACGTGTCTGGGCTCTTTAGGGTAGGGCCTATTGTGCTTATTAAATTATATCAACTGTATGAAACACAGCATATAATATTCTGCACGTAATAGGCCCACAGTGAAATGTTGATCTGTGTCCCTCATTTAGATTCTGAATTCCACAAAACTCCATCATCAGCTTTCCCACTGGCCCTATAGGGTAGTGGAAGACCGGAATGAGACCCCTATTCCAGTTGTCACCCTCATCACACCTCATTCCCTTTCAAACTCTCACTTTGCTCACTCCAGTTACGTTGTTTGGTAAGAGTTTTCATTCTTTTTGAATGGAAAGGAATAAGAGCTTCATTCAGGAGGCTGGCCACCCGGGGAGGAGGCCCCCTCTGGTCCAAAAGCCGGCTCTACACTTTCTGTCCACGAGGGTTTTAAAGGGACAGGATGCGGTTAATCAGCGAGGGGGTGCAGTGGCCTGTAACGTTTCCTGATTCCCGTAGGCTTGGTGGTACCTATTTACAGGCTACAGGGCTTGAGGGTTGTGCAAGAAGTGTAATTCTTGTTCTGCGACACGTGAGGGCTTCCTGTTCTCTCATTAATGGTAGGAAGCTGAGTCACCCGCTGATCAATCCGCTTTCTCATCTTCCAGTGTCTACGCTGATCGCTCTTCAACTCTTTTTCCTCACTGTAGTTGAAAGATCTTTACAAAATCCAATTTTCATTCTTGACCCTCCTATTGTTTAATGTTTTGTTTTTGGTTTTTTTTTTTTGGCAGACGTGGGACCCAGCACTAGCCCGAATTGCAAAAGCATGGGCAAAAAACTGTCAGTTTGCACACAACGGACAGCTGCAGTCGAACAAGCTGCACCCGAATTTCACTTTCGTGGGAGAAAATATCTGGACTGGGTCTGTATCCATATTCTCTGTGTCTTCAGCCATTACCAAATGGCACAGTGAAATTCAGGACTATGACTTCGAGACTCAGAAATGCACCAAGGTCTGTGGCCATTACACTCAGGTAAGCGTCTGCCCTGTATTCTCTTTTTTTAAGATTTTATTTATTTATCTGACCGAGAGACACAGCGAGAGAGGGAACACAGGCAGGGGGAGCGGGAGAGGGAGAAGCAGCCTTCCCGCCGAGCAGGGAGCCCGACGCGGGGCTCGATCCCAGGACCCTGGGTGTCGAAGGCAGACACCCAATGCCTGAGCCACCCAGGCGCCCCTGCCCTGTATTCTCTTGAAACATCTTTTCAAGGGCAAAGAGAAAACTGGAATCGGGTGTTAAGAAAGTATATAGTTAAGCTGGTGCAACTGCAAATATGAAAGAGTAGGGGTTGCAAGCTTCCTTCAAAAATAAATAAATGGGGCAAACTTCCATAGCAGGGGAGGTCATGATTGAAGAGTTCAGTTATGTGCGTAAACCTAAAACGTGAGGCTCACTGATCTGGACAGACTTTGGATGTTTCGGTAACAGCAACCCCCCTGGGGGACTTGATTCCATTTGTGAGCCATCAGAGGATGTGGTGAGTGAATGGATTTTCAGGGATGCGTCCTCTATGGAACTGGAGGCACTTGATTTGGGACTCTAAAATTGGGAGACATAAGCATCTCTGACAGAAGCTTCAGTTCCATATGCTCCCATTCCTCCGGGAGTGGGCAGAGAGCCTACCGTGTGTTGCCTGAGGACGAGAGAAACAACAGTGGAGAGGCCAGCATGTAAGCTTGTGTAAACCATCCTGTGGCTATTCTGCCCCCCAAATCTACAGGATTTAGTCCCAGTGGCCACATTCAGAGGCTCCCATTGAGATTTTTTTTTTTTTTTTAATTGAAGCTGGTTTGGTTTCCTAACCCTAATGCATGTTTGCAACACGTGGAAACAAATCCCTCAGGTAGACCATCTTCTATGGTCTTCTTACTCTGCTGCCTCCCTATCCCAGCCACATTTCATTTATTTACTTTTATTTCCTGGCATCTTTGTCAAGCCAATAACTAATGGTGCTGAACCCACGCCTGACTGGTTCTAATGTACAAAAATGTGTTGAAATGAGGTATGAGGGCAAAAACATTTCTAACAAGGTAGTTAACTTGGAATAACAGGTGTTTTTTTTTTAAGATTTTTTTAAATTTATTTATTTAACAGAGATATAGAGAGAGCGTAAGTAGGCAGAGCGGCAGACAGAGGGAGAGGGAGAAGCAGGCTCTTCACCGAGCAGGGAGCCCGATGCGGGGCTCGATCCCAGGACCCTGGGAGCATCACCCGAGCCGAAGGCAGTCGTTTAACCGACTGAGCCACCCAGGCGCCCCAGAATAACAGGTGTTTTTAAAGAGTGAGACGTTGTTGGAAAAACTCTCAATGAAGTTCAGCCATATAGAACCTCTGGTCTCATTACAGGTAAAACAAGGTTGGCATCACTATTTATTATTATGATGTGAGGGGAATGGAAGATTTCAGTGACATTTTCACCTCAAGATTATTGTAAGCAAGGAAGAGTTATCAAACCACGAGTAGCATTGGTCCCTTTCTTAAAAATATAAATAAGGTTCCTCTAGACTTATCCCATAAACCATTCATCTTGGCTTATGTTCACAAAAAATTGTAACCAGAAAGTTGATTCCATCAGAATCCTACAAGTCCTCGAGGGCCAGGAAGCTAACTCCAGGTTGTTTACAAGTGGTACCTGGTACCATTAAACATTGCGCTGTTTAAATCTCCAAAAATAATTGTCAGTTTGAGGGTACTGACTCTCACTCAGTCCGTGTTTAAGCTTCTACCCTGCACGCGGTACTGTTGCAAGGCACTCCCTGGTCATATGTCTTTGTGCAGACGCCTGCCAAACAGAGCCTGGGGCAAAGGCTTTCTGTCCTACCACATTACTGAGGAGTACAATCACCAAGAAGTCAAAGTGAGGAGAAATGCGGGGTGGGGCAGGGAATGAGGGACACAGATGGCAATGGCCCCTGACCCTTAGGAGGCGAGCTTCTGTGAGGAGAGACGTGTGTAAGTGGATGTAATGTGGCGCACGGTTGGCACATTGTGGAGAAACTGACAAGGTGCCATGTGGGCAAAGAGGACACGGCAACGTATGTGGCCAAAGGGAGGTCTGGAGACATAGGAGTTGTTCATACGGCAGGAGCCAAATCAGTTGGTTCTTGAAAACTAAGTGAGAGTTTATCAAATGAAAAGGAAAAGGAAGAGAACTCCTGGCAAAATTAACAAGGTGTACAGTGGGTACAAATGAGCCCCGTACTTCAGAAGAATGGCTAGGAGCTCACCACAGCGAATATCTGCAGATCAAAGGACTGTTAAACTGAACACAGACTCCTAAACCATGCAAGTCAGTACACTCCACATCCATGATTCCAGGGACTAAAAACAGGAGGAGGAAACTTGATTTTATGTCATCTAGACCTGAGATTTCAGAGATGGCCTTCCCCAAATTAGCTGTGCTTACTTGTAAATTTTTCCCTTCCATCTAGGACAAAAAAAGGAGGGCCAACATTTCGGACCTGAGAAAACTCATTTCCTTGCATACGGGTATCAGAGCCCAAGCTGAGTGATCCTAACCTGTTCTCTCTTAAGAGACCACTACATTCTACTCCCAATTCTGAAGAGTAAGCCTTATCCTGGAGAGGAAGTCCAGGGACACCCTGGGTTTGGGATAACACAACCCGCAGCAACCACTTTTAAGTGTGCTTCTTAGCTCTCCGTGGTTTAAGATCTCATTCAAATCTCACCACAAACCTGTCAGAGAGCCGCAATCATCCATAGATGAGTCAACAGGCTCAGGGAAATGAAGAAGTTGTTTTCCTAGACCTTGCGTCCTTGCCTCTGTGCACCTAATCTCAGCTGGTCTGCAGGGGACCCCCTGAGCACCAGCCCTAATCCCCCCGCAGGGTCCCATTTCTGCTCCAAGATGAAAGAAACTATCATGAACCAGGAGAAACTCGCCAAACTGCAAGCACACGTGCGCATCGGTGGGAAAGGAACTGCCCACTGGAAGAAGGTGGTGCATAGAACAGCTACAGCAGATGATAAAAAAACTTCAGGTCTCCTTAAAGAAGCTGGGGGTAAACTATCTCTGGATTGAAGAAGTGACTACGTTCACAAACCAAGGAACAGTGATCCACCTTCACAACCAGTAAGTTCAGGCATCCCTGGCAGCAAACACTTGCGCCATCATAGGCTGTGCTGACGGAAATGCTACCCAGCGTCTTCAACCCACCTGGTGCAGACAGGCTGCCTAGTTCAGGAAGATGGGCTGAAGCTCGGCCCACACAATCTGTGGACGGAAAAGCATCACTTGCTATAGGAGAGGAAGAGGAGGAAGTTCCAGATCTTGTGGAATTTTTTTTAAAGATTTTATTATTTATTTGACAGAGAGAGAGAGAGAACAAGCAGGGGGAGAGACAGAGGGAGAAGGAAAAGCAGGCTCCCCACAGAGCTGAGAGCCCGACGTGGAGACTCGATCCCAGGACCTGGAGATCATGACCTGAGCCGAAGGCAGACACTTAACCACGAGCCACCCAGGCGCCCCTGGATCTTGTGGAATTTTGATGAGGCTTCCAAGAATGAAGCAAACTGATCTGACTCATCTTCTGAAGAAGATAAAACTTATTACTGTGAGCTGCTATTTTATATGATGACTACTTTTTAAAATTTTGTTCATGGATCTGATGAAATCTGGATCTCTAATATTTTTTAAGCCCAAGCCTCTTGGCCACTGTAGCTCTTTTCAGTTTTTGCTTAGACACAATTCATTCTTTGCAGCTATTAAGCTGAAGAAGCCTCAGGATAAAGTTTGAAACAAGGTTAATAAAGATCTTTGCCTAGTGGAAGAAGAAGAAGAAGAAGAGGAAGAAGAAGAAGAAGAAGAAGAAGAAGAAGAAGAAGAAGAAGAAGAAGAAGAAGAAGAAGAAGAAGTTGTTTTCCCCGTGTCACAAAGCTGGTAAGAGGAAGGGCTGGGATCCAGATATCAGGTATCTGGTGAGGATTAAATAATAGGATTTAGATAAATTATCTAGTAAAGTGCTGGTACTTAGCAGGCATTAAGCAAAGGTTAGATCTCCTTCATGAGCTGGGGTTTTTTGCCAATTATATTGGAAGAAGATTTTGACAGCGTGGTTAAAGATGACCTCACATTAAAATATAATGTTTTGATCCTTGCAAGAAATATTACCGGGAGATTCAAGACTGCTCAGTTGCCATTTTAAATTCTTGCTGGAAATCACCTCAAGTGGATATTATAACCCCCCCACTTATCCTCATCTTCTATTAATAAAAAGCAAGTTATTTTCAGATTTTGGCTGGTGAAGGATGGTTGTACAGAGTAAAGACAATAGATTTAGATCCAATTACTAACTCATAAAGATGTGGTATTTCTTGACACATTAGATCAACACTTTAGCTCGGTCTTCACTAGAGATAGATTTGCACTGTGTAAGAATTTTGGCATATTAATATGGAAGATTAGATATTTTGCGATCAGCAGTTCGCCTTTATAAAACGGGAATAGTTTGACTTCAATATATGGGCGGGGCAACAGCTTCGGTTCGGTAGTGCTGAGAATGCCCACTAGATGGCACCATAGATCTCATTTTTGGTTTTAATCCCGGCCGCGCTGCCACCTTCTTGAAATCGTTATTTTTACTCTTACCAAACAAATGGAAGTGGGACATGTTTCAGCTTCTCTACCTGGTTTTATATATGTTGCAGTGTCACCATACTCGTGATAATAGGGCCTGATAATGAGTCAGAAGGACTCATACTGAGACTTGAAAGAAGATGGTGGGAAGGGGGCATTAGCTCCAGTGGAGAGACATGCCCCTGCCCCTAGGTTCCCCAGATGCAATGTTTTTGTTATAAAGGTGTAGAAAACATCCTCACTAAATAGTGAAGGAAGCTAAGGTCATGGTCACAGAGTGAGTGGCTGAGCTGGAATATGAACTCCATCTTTGTAGCCCCAGAGCCCACAAGTTGAACCCAGAACCTGATTGCTCATAAAGCTTTTTAAAAAGAGACCAACTTGAACGGAGAATAAACTGTGGGACATCCGTGCAATAAAGAAGTGAGCCCAACAGTACGAATGGGTCTCAAATGCTTATGCTTCGTGCAAGAAGCTAGAGTGGAAAAACTACATTTAAACTGATCCCATTTATGTAATATTCTGGAAAAAGCAAAATGATAGGGACAGAAAACAGATTAGAGATTGTCAGGGGCCAGGGGATGGGGGGAAGAGCTGACCCCAAAGGAGCACAAGGGAACTTCTGGGAGCAATGGACAGTGTTCTAGGTCGTGAATATGGTGGTAGCTACACAACTATGTTTTTCTCAAAATTCATGGAACTGTCCACCTAAAAAGGATGGGTTTTACTGTGTCTTAATTACAGCCTGACTTTAAAAAAAGAGAGACCAATTAAAACAAAATGAATGGTAATTAACATTGCATACCCTTGGAAACTAAGAGACCAGAAAAGAAAAGTAAAAGACGGTAAAACAAAAGAAACAGCGTAAAGCATTAAAGATGTGTGTGTGGGAAGCCCAAAGATTAAGAATACTTGAGATAAAACAACACCTGAAGAAAGTGTGCGAAGACCAAAGGATAAAAAATATAAAATGATTTACCGAGGTGATGGTAAAAGGAAAACACAGACAACATTGCACCCAGTTAGCATGCATAATAATCACCTACAGAACTTGTTAAAATATAGATTTTATTCTTTTTTATGGCTGAATATTTCTATATATGTAACATATTTTCCTGAAGAAAAAATTCTGCCATTTGCAACAACATGGATGGACCTGGAGGGTACTATGCTAAGTGAACGAAGTCAGGCCAAGAAAGACAAATACCATCTTATATGGAATCTAAACAAAAAACAAAGTCTTAGAAACAGAGAATAGACTGGTAGGTGTTAGGGTGGGGGTGGAGGGGAAAAATGGGTGAATGTGGTCAAAGGCTCAAACTTACAGTTATAAAATAACTAAGTCTGGGATGTACAGCATGCTGACTGACCATAGCTAACAATATTGTAGTATATATTTGAAAGGTGCTAAGAGAGTAAATCTTACAATTTCTCACCACAAGAAAAAAAAATTGTAACGATATGGTGATGGATGTGTTAAATAACAAAAATTCATCTAAGTATGTTAAAGATCTAATTGGCTTTATTAACTAATTCATGAATCAGGCAGCATCCCATCTAGCAAGCAGAGGGAGCTCAAGGGGCTACAGAAAGGGAAAGGTTTTAAAAGGCAGGACAGAAAGAAACAGAAAAAAAGATTATTTTGAGTGAGGTGATCTTCCTTTGGGGAGAAAAGGGTCTTATTAGGTGGTTTACCTCATCTTCCTTTGCGGGGATGGAGAGGTCCCTTTGACGGATTAGCTTATTGGTGCTGACCAGGAAGTCCCTGACTGCATTTCTGGGGATGCCTGGGTGGCTCAGTGGGTTGAGCTTCTACCTTCGGCTCAGGCCATGATCCCAGGGTCCTGGGATCAAGCCCCGCATTGGGCTCCCTGCTCCGCGGGAAGCCTGCTTCTCCCTCTCCCTCACTTGTGTTCCCTCTCTCACTGTGTCTCTCTCTGTCAAATAAATAAAATCTTTAAAAGAAAAAAAAAGTGCAATTAGGTTAGGCCTTAGGCCCCAGTTTGGTGACATGGTCTAGCATAAGTCATGCCATTTTAGGCCTGTGATTTTCTTTTTGACACATGTTAACAAGATTTATTATGGTCATCATTTCACAGTGTATAAAGTTATTGAATCATTATGTTGTACACCTGTAACTCATGTAATATTATATTATCAGGGATATCTCAATTAAAAAAAAAATACAGATTTCAAGGATAATTCCAGTGACTCTCATTCAGCAGGACTGAGATAGGCCCAGAAACCTGCATTTTAAACAAAGCTTCCAAGGTGAAATCACCTTGAGATACAGTGAAATTTAAAACTTTTTATTTTATTTTATTTTAAAGATTTTACTTATTAATTTGACAGAGAGAGAGACAGCAAGAGAGGGAACACAAGCAGGGGGAGTGGGAGAGGGAGAAGCAGGCTTCCCGCGGAGCAGGGAGCCCAATGCGGGGCTCGATCCCAGGACCCTGGGATCATGACCTGAGCCGAAGGCAGATGCTTAATGACTGAGTCACCCAGGTGCCCCTAAAACTTTTTAAATAAATGCAAAAATGATTGGAAAGTATACGTACAAGGGTCAAACCTGAGGATTCATGGCCATAAAGCTAGGCTCTCGCCCTGAGCTAGAGGCCTCAGTTCTCTGCAGGGGATTCTGGTGTGAGATGAAAGGGCAACCCCTGACGTCGATCAGGAAGGGAACCGGTCCCTTGCTGAAGGAGAGCACGCCTCGTCCTCTGGAGGGGAGCCCGAGCTGCCTTCCCATAGTCTCCCCAGATGCCAAACCAAAGAGGACAGAATGCAGAGCGCTGCTCCCTATCTGCGGTTTTGTCCCTGTCCCTCCTACCCCCTTCAGCCTCCCTAGCCACTCCCCCACGACGACCCCACCTTTAAGCCTTGGAGAAGCGCAGACTCAGATCCACATCTCCCGTCCCACTATACTCTCTCCCTCAGGCGTGGTTTTCACTGATTTTTTTTTTTTTTTGAAGTAAACTTGAACTTTTTCTGCAGCCACACCAGCCTTGTGTCAGTTCGGTGAGTCTTTCTCATCTTGGGTTAGCATAAACTGCCCTCTCTGGAAGACTTCTCCCGGCTCTTAGACCAGCTCACCGGGCTTCGGTCCAGCCTCACTAAGGCAGAGCAGGCTCCTGCGCTGTACGCTCCCTTAGCCCCCTCTGTTCCCCGCACCACAGTCAAACCCTTGCATGAAGGCCCCACGGCAGCTTTTCTCTACATTTTGTAAAGGCACCCACCGGCTCCGGCTCTTTCACCTCTGTATCCCCCATACTGGGCTCAATTCTTGTCACAAAATTACTTTTGAAAAAATGTGTAAAAGTAATTTAATATGCAATTTGGTATCACTGTAAAAAGGAGTGCATCTGATCGCTGGCTTATCTCCAGACACCAGCTCTTTAAAAATATTTTTTTTTCTTTAGGCTTCTGTGACATCAAACACTCTTGGTTAAGATGAGCTGTATAATTTGTGGGGTTTCGTGCAAAAGGAAAATGTAAAGTTCCTTGTTAAAAAATCGGGGGAAAAGTGCCACTAAATGTGGGAAAGTATGTGACAATGTTGAACTAAACCAGGTACGGAGCCCTCCCGACCTATGCGACTTCACAGGCCCCTCTCCCTGAGGCCGGCTCCGTCCTTGGTTTCCCTCCTATGCCGCTCCACACTCCTTTTCAATATGCTTTGCTGGTTGATTTTCTTTTTCTCTTTATCCCATGCTCTCATTTACTTGTTTATCTATTATCTTTGCCTACGATCTAATCTAGTCCCGTGTCTTCCAGATTTCTATCTCTAGCCTTGCTCTGTCCCCTGAACTGTAGATGGTCACTTTCAGCAGCAAAGTCACTCCACACTTGGACATCTCAAAGGTCACCCGACCTGAACAGAACCCCTGTCCATGCTCCCTCCCACCCTCCTCCTTCCCTACTTTTCCTAATCTCACAAGTGTTACTCAGGCCCCAAATGTTCCCACTTTCCTCACACTGAAGCAAAAGCAAATCCTTTCAGCTTTAGCTAGAAGCTGAACCATGAACTTGATGGATTCCCAGGAACGGGCCACCACCACCCAAGTGTGGGCCACCATCTTGTCTTTGTTGTACCACTGAAACAGCCTCTCAAATGCCCTCCCTCTTTCTTCCTTTGCTCTTCTCAGTCCATTGACTTCATAACAACCGAAGAGATCTTTCTGAGATGGGAAAAAGAGTCTATGCTCACTTGCCTATCAGATTCCCCGAGACCTGCCCCTCTGCCTCTTAACTCAATGCGAACGACTCTCCCTATTACCTGGATCCCAGCTCTGCTGGCCTTTTCTCTGCCACTCTCACAAGCCGGTTTCACCGCGAGTCCTCCACGCCTCTGCTCCCTCCGCCTGGGAGGCTCTTCCTCCCACATTTAGGTCTCCTGCACATTCTACCCTCAGTGCGCCTCCTCCATGGCCCCTTCTCTGGATACCCAAGCTCAGCCCCTCTTCCCCAGCACTCACTATTTTATTTCAAGTGCCCAAAATGATCTTAGTATTGTGTATATGTTTATTTCACACACACCCCAATAATAAAATTCCAAGCCTTGTTTTCAACTGAATTCTGAGCACCTGAGTGCTCCCTGGTAACAACGGCTTTCCCTGCTGGAGTGAATACACCTCACTGTGTTTAGGAAGGCCTACTCATACTCAAATGTTCACTTTATTGTCTTTCTCTCTTTTTTTTTTTTTAAGATTTTATTTATTTATTTGACAGAGAGAGACACAGCGAGAGAGGGGAACACAAGCAGGGGGAGCAGGAGAGGGAGAAGCAGGCTCCCCGCTGAGCAAGGAGCCTGACACGGGACTCGATCCCAGGACCCTGGGATCATGACCTGAGCTGAAGGCAGACGCTTAACGACTGAGCCACCCAGGTGCCCCTATTGTCTCTCTCTTGCTACAAATCCTTATTTTCTTTCAGGTTGTCTGGGCAGACAGTTATAAAGTTGGCTGTGCTGTACAATATTGCCCCACAGTTTATGGCATTAACAGCTTAACCAATGTAGCACATTTCATATGCAACTACGGACCAGGGTAAGTACCCAAATCAACCTCTTTCTAAACTTCTTTTAAATCTACTTTAGAAGTATTTATTTTCATTATAGAAAATTGAGATAATAAAGAAAGTGTAAAAAAGAAAATTAATATCACTATTAATTCCTCTACCCAGAGATCTACTCCATTAACACCTGGTACATTTTTTTTTTAATATATGTGCGTGTGTGTATGCACCCTTTACAAGTGCTATATAAATACACACATACATACACAGCACGTGTTTTTAAGAGTGGCAAGACTAAAATGTTTTCAGGGACATAGATCAATGGGAAATCGTAATAACACCACAAAATGGGAGGATTGGTGTTACTTTATATTTATTGTTTTTTTTTAAAACTTGGCATGTTTTGCACAATTTTCAAAAAAAGGAACAATTAAATTTCTCAATTTATGTAATTTATTTCATTTACTTTTGAAAGTTTTGGTTTTGAAATGGATACAGTTTTTCTTCCTTTGGAAAATAGGGTAGACCCATGACATGCCCCCACCTTTCTTTAAACATATATGTGTGTTTATGCATCATACACGTTATTGAGAAAATGGAGATCATAATGGAAATGCGCATTTTCTACTTTTTACTTAAAATTATACCATGAGCATTTTCCATGTCATTGAATTTTTAAACATATGAATGAATAATTAGAAAAATAATGAAAGTACTCTTTCACAAAGATGGCATTGAAGGTGAAGAAGGAAGCCTCTGCCCCTCCCAAAGCCAAGCCAAGGCTTTGAAGGCCAAGAAGGCAGGGCTGATAGGTGTCCAAAATCACCAAAAAAAAGAAGATCCACACATCACATACTTACTGATGGCCCAAGACATTGTGTCTTCAAAGGCAGCCCAAATATCTACAAAAGAGTGCCCCCAGGATAAACAAGCTTGACCACTATGCCATCATCAAGCTCCCCCTGACTTAACGAGTCAGCCTTGATAAAAGCAGAAGACAACAACACACTGTGTTCACTGTGGATGTCAAGGCCAACAAACACCAGATCAAACAGGCTGTGAAGAAGCTCTATGACTTTGGGTGGGGGGTGGGTTAGCCTGGTGATGGGTATTAAGGAGGGCACGTTCTGCATGGAGCACTGGGTGTTATACACAAACAATGAATCATGGAACACTACATCAAAAACTAATGATGTAATGTATGGTGATTAACATAATAAAAAAAAAAAAGAAGAAGCTCTATGACTTTGACGTGGCTAAGGTCAACATCCTGATCAGGCCTGATGAAGAGAAAGCATATGTTCGAGTGGCTCCTGACCATGACACTTTGGATGTTGCCAACAGAATTGGTTACATCTAGGGCTTCCAGTTGCCTCAGTCAGTTAAGCGTCTGCGTTCAGCTCAGATCATGATCCCAGGGCCCTGAGATCGAGCCTCATGTGGGGCTCCCTGCTCAGCGGGGAGTCTGCTTCTCCCTCTCCCTCTGCCACTCCTCCCCCTTTGTGCTCTCTGGCATGCTCTCTCTCTCTCTCTCAAGTAAATAAAATCTTTAAAAAAAAATTGGGGATCATCTAAACTGAGTCCAATTGGTTAAATCTAAACATACATTATTTTCACGATAAAAAAAATAGAGTAATACTTATAAAATGCTTACTATATGCTAAGCACTTTTTTTAAAGATTTTATTTATTTGAGAGAGAAAGAGAGGGAACGCACGCTTGAGCTGGGTGGGGGGGCAGAGGGAGAGAATCTCAAGCAGACTCCACGCTGAGCACAGAGCCCCACATGGGGCTCTATCCTGAGACCCAGGAGATCAAGACCTGAGATGAAACCAGAGTCGGTCACTTAACCATCAGAGCCACCCAGGCGCCCCGCTGAGCACTTTTCTAATTGCTTCATACGTATTAACTTACTTAATGTTCATGAAAGGTCTTGAGATGGGTCGTCTTACCACCCCTGTTTGGCAGTTAAGAAAACTGAGGTACTGACAGGGTGAGTAGCCTGCCCAGGGTTCCACCATTGGTGACACTATTTCATATGTCACCAAGTCATAGCTGGATTGTGACCTGGGCTGTCTGGCTCCCGAGTCTGTCCTCTAGATGGACACAACAGCTCATCCTACTGAAGAATTTAGATTGTTCTCTGTATTTTAATATCTGATGAACAACCTTGTATAGAAGTCTTTGGTCGCATCGATTTCCCCACAATTCCTAGAAATAGTATACTAAGTGATACATGTGAACATCTTTAAGTTTTTAAAAATGCATATGGCCAAATTATCCTCCACTATTACTTATACCAATTTATACTCCTTCATTAGGACTGGGATTATCATTTTTTAATATTTTCCAATTTGATATAAAGTGTTATCTCATATTTTCTTTTGCATCTCGTAGACTACCATTGATTATACATTTTCATCTGATTGCCTATTTACATTCCTCCTTCTGTGAAGCATATGGTCTGCTCATTTTTCTACTAGAGTGATTTTCTTAATGGTTTATGGTAGTTGTTTGTATTTTAAAAAGCTTTTAACCCTTTGTCAAATATATAACATTTATTTTAGTATTATTTTTTTAAGATTTTATTTATTTGCCAGAGAGAGAGAGAGCTCACACAAGCAGGGGGAGCAGCAGGCAAGGGAGAGGGAGAAGCAGGCTCCTCGTGGAGCAGGGAGCCCGATGCGGGCCTCAATCCCGGGACCCTGGGACCATGATGTGGGCCAAAGGCAGATGCCCAACTGACTGAGCCACCCAGGCGCCCCAACACTTTTTTTCTTTGTTTCCCTTGAATTTTGTTTGGATTTTTCCAATCTTTGGGATTCCAAAAGATTTGTTAGAAGCCTCTCTCTCTTTCCCTGAAGTAATGCTCAGAAGAAATGTTTGATAGTTTGACTGAGTGTAGGTGGGAGTGAAAGGACTAAAATCAGGTGTCATTCAGAAGAGAACAACTTTGACTTAAAATCCCAAAGTCAGCAAATAGGGAAAACCCAGGAAAAACCGGCCAAAGCCATCAAGCCAATCAGTGGTGATTTTTCATGACATTTATATAACTTAATGGTTAAGATATGGGGTCTTGAGACCCACTACCTTGGTTCACTTACTGTGTGACCTTGGATAAGTTACTAATTTCTCTGAACCTCAGTTTGCTCTGCAAAAGATCAGGATAATAAAAGCACTGAGTACTTATCAAGTAGCTATGAAAATTACATGAGAGGGGTTCCCCGGGTGGCTCAGTCGTTAAGCATCTGCCTTCGGCTCAGGTCATGATCCCAGAGTCCTGGGATCGAGCCCCTCATCGGGCTCCCTGCTCCACGGGGAGCCTGCTTCTCCCTCTCCCACTCCCCCTGCTTGTGTTCCCTCTCTCGCTGTGTCTCTCTCTGTCAAATAAATAAAAAATCTTAAAAAAAAAAAAAGAAAAAGAAAACTACATGAGAAAAGCTAGGTAAAACACCAGGTATATGTAATACCTGGCAATGGTGATTATTTGAGAAATACTCACAGTTATTGTTATGATGAGGCACAAATGTGAAGTCTTCTGGCTTATACTCACTTTACTTGCTTTTAGAGTTCTAAACAATAAGTTGTAAAACTTAAAACCAGTTATAATACTTCTATAGAGTAACATTCATTTATTCATACAAATAATTCACACATTCGATTATTCAACAAATATTTGTTTACTGAGCTTCAAAAGAGAACCAGCCCAACACAGTCCCCACTCTCACGGAATTTGTATTTATGGGGCAGAAAGACAATAAAAATACAAATAAAATAACTGCATCATGATAGGAGTAATGAAGGAAATACCAGTAACACTGAAATCGACACTATCAATAGGCAGGACCTTACTTGAATAAAATGATGTACTTAAGTGTAGGCATGAAGAATAGAAAGGAACCAGACATGTGAAGAACTTCATGAATGGATGTCTGCTGCAGAAAACACCTGCAAAGCTTCTGTGGAGAGGATTCAAGAATGGACGGAAGTGCAGAGTGCGTGGACCACTGAATGAGATGCGACTCGGGGAAGGAGGCAGCTCAGCCTTGCAGGGCTGTGTAGGTCATGGCAAATCTAACTGTATTCACATCACAAGAGGAATCCTCCAAGTATTTTAAGCAAGGGAGTGACAAGACCTGCTTTAAATTGAGAGATCATTCTGTATGAGCTGTGGAAAATGGATTGGAGGGTATGGGGTGGGGGGCACAGAGGCCAGTTAAGGATGTCCTCATTTTCTACTGCCTTCTGAGCTGGCTTTTTCTCCTCAAAGGCCCCCATTCCACATAATTCTAAGAAGTCCAGTATCTTCCCCATTTTTCTGAGATTTCCTAAGAGTGGGGTGAGGATGCTTAATTCTCCTGTCACCTGTAACTCAAGCTCTGGAGTCAGTCATTGTCCAGGACAGTTTTGACTCCTCCTCCTGGCCGCTTCAGATCATTCTGATCTGCATTTTTTTGAACGTAGACACAACTCTCCCTTCATTCTCCTGGGCCCCTCTGAGCTAGGCTATCTTGTGATTGATTAGTGGAAGAGAGGATTATAGCACGTTAGAGGAAATGACAACCCTGACCATCAGATCCTACAAGACCTAGTGTGTTCTGCCTTAAGGACCCTTAACTCATATTTATCTTTTTCTTTAAAGATCTATCTTTTCTTTTTTTTTTAAAAAGATTTTATTTATTTATTTGACAGAGAGAGACACAGCGAGAGAGGGAACACAAGCAGGGGGAGTGGGAGAGGGAGAAGCAGGCTTCCTGCCGAGCAGGGAGCCCGATGTGGGGCTCGATCCCAGGACCCTGGGATCATGACCTGAGCCGAAGGCAGCTGCTTAACTGACTGAACCACCCAGGCGCCCCTAAAGATCTATCTTTTCTCAGGGCGCCTGGCTGGCTCAGTCAGTAACCCTTAGACTCTTGATCTCGGGGTTGTGAATTTGAGCCCCATGTTGGACACGGATTACTTAAAAAAAAAAAAAAAAAAAAAATCTGTCTTTTCTCTTCTTCAGTCCTGGGGCCCTGACTTTCTTTCTCAGGCTACCAGGGGGAACACTAAAATTTCTTGCTTCTTTATGGACAGAATACTTTAGGGCTCTTGGTCTCAATTGTTCCTGTCCAGACAAATGCAGGCCATTCCAGTAGCGTATTTCTCCCGGGATGAATTCTGCCATTTCCCTAGAATTCGTAACTGCCTTGTCTTTAGCCTGGTTTTGAAACAGTAATTTCTTCTTCTTTATAGTTTGGAAGACACAATTCAACAAAGAATGAAACAGCACAAACGATTTTATTAAAAACATTCTAGAACTTGACCACTCAATGAGTTTTGTGCTAACAATGAAAGATAGCCCCATAATTAATGTGTATTTTGGAGGTCTTTTATAATTGTTATCAGAATATTCCTTTGACTATTTTCCACAGTGTAAAGCAAGCATGAGGATAAACTTAGTTTCTGAAACAACCTAGATTAATTTGGAGCCAAACATGATTAGAACATATATTTGGTGTTGGGAACCTGGTGTTAATAGAAAGTAATGTCTCCTTAACTTTGGAGGTAAAGCTATAGTGTTAGGGGAGGGGAGTTGAGTCTATGAACTTGGGAGTTAAATCTTTATTTTCACTAACCTCTACTGAAAATAACATTTCATTATGTATGAAGACAACACTTCAGCCCCATCGGCAATACTGTAACTCTGTGTTAGTACTACTTCTTTCTTTGTAAATATCAGATATTCTCATAGCACATTCCATTTGCTGCAGAGATCTCAAAATATGGTTGTAATCTATCATTAAAGGTACTATCATTAGAATTCTTGCTAGATCTTATTTAATATTTAATAGAGGACATATTGCTATATCAAAAATATTTTTAACATTTTGATAACTATTTGAACTTACTCAGTTTCCTTTATAATCTTACAAACTTTATTTTATGCACTTAAAAACAAACTATTTTGGGGCACCTAGGTGCTCAGTCAGTTGTGTCCAACTCTTGATCTCGGCTCAGGTCTCTGTATCAGGATTGTGAGTTCAAGCCCTGCATTGGGCTCCACCCTGGGCATGGAGGTTACTTTAAAAAAAAAAAAAAGTAAAAATAATTTTGAGAGTCCATAGGCTCCACCAGACTGCCAAAAGGTACCATGACACAAAAAATTAAGAACTCCTTTCCAAAAAAGATGAGTGCAATGGCAGAGTTACTGAAATGCATGTACAGTTCTCATCATTTCTACTCTGAAGATATTCATGGGGATATAAAATGCTTGGATATTATTTCACTTTCTAGTGTATGACCTTGGTCAATTATTTCCACTGTGCCTCACCTCTAACTATATTGGGGATAAATAAATAATAGTATCTTCCCCATAGGCTATTGTGAAAATTAATTCATTCAAGGATGCTTAGTACAGTAATTATTATCCACATTACATCTTTAATGTGAAAACAAATTTAGAAATCCCCCCTCTCATTTTTTTTTTTCTTTTTTTAACCCAGCCAAATGACTCCTGTCCAACTAAAACCAAGGAGGCTTGCTAAACTGAGAGGAGTAAATGTGGGTCATGAGACCTTAGGATGGGCAGTTTTTTGGATGGTAGTGATCATACAGGCCAGACAGTTAAATAGAGCCAAGTGTTGCCCTGGAGTCAGACCAATCCAGATTTCCTTGTGACTCTGACATGTATACATTGTGATTTTTGACAAGTTAATTTCTTAGAGCTTTAGTTTCCTTATCTGTAAAATAAAAATAAGAATAACTTCCAGAGTTGTCTTAAGAGTTAAATGAGAAGATGTAGGTGAAGACATAGGTTCATAGACATAGACACATAGAATAAAACTCTATAAATATTAACAGGCTTCCACTTCCCTCAACCCTCGGAATCTGTGGACTTCCATCCTACATATTTAGTCAAAGATTCACAGTAAATTTCACTGGAAAAAAAATCATCTCTCCTAATGGACAGCTTTTTTCTACTTTACAGACAAAGCTCTCAAAGGCCATACAGAAGAGGATCTACTTGCAGTGCCTGCCCCAGTGATGACAAATGTTTGGACAACCTCTGCAGTGAGTAAAAGGAAAAATCTACCAATAATACAATGTGTTTGAAACAACTTTCTCTGCAGAGTTCAGAATGCAAATGTTTGCTTTATCCTAATAGCTATTTTCAGGGAAGCTGGAGTCAAGTAGCAATCAAGCCGATGGCTTACTGTCCTGGGAATGAACATATATTCAAGGTAAATTTAAGGAAGCAAATAAGAACCTTCTTTTTTTAGCTCTAATCAGTACAACAAAAAATGACTATGAGGATAGAAACTGTAGACCCAAGATTTGCTCATTTCAGCAAGATCAAAAAAACTCCTGATTTGTAAACACTGATTTCTCATCTTCACTTCGGGTACAGCCACACTTTTTTGATCAGCTCTCTGAGCGGTCATTTCTCCCCTGGTTCGACCATTCACTTCACTCACAGCAGTTTTGTTAAAGCAACTCAGTAACGTGTAGCAACGAATCTCTTCTCGTAGCATCAATGTATTAACTGAATTTTTCATGTTGCTACAATACTACAAAGCGTATTATTTTTTTTTTTTCCAAGTTAGGCTGTATAACATAGGAGTTAAAACCACACATTTTTGAAACGGTATGCCCGGGTTCAATTTCCAGTTCCACCACTGTGACCTTGGGCAACTGTCTGAACCAAGTTCCTCAACAATAAAATGTAGATGCCCCACCCCCATCTTCTTCTTTTTTTAAACAAAGAATGTATTGTTTCAGAGGCACAGGTCTGATTCATCGGTCTTACACAATTCACAGCGCTCACCATAGCACATACCCTCCCCAGTGTCTATCACCCAGCCACCCCATGCCTCCCACCCCCCTCCACTCCAGCAACCCTGTTTCCTGAGATTAAGAATTCCTCATATCAATGAGGTCATATGATACAGGTCTTTCTCTGATTGACTTATTTCGCTCAGCATAACACCCTCCAGTTCCATCCACGTTGTTGCGAACGGCAAGATTTTGTTTTTTTGGTGGCTGCATAATATTCCATTGAGGGGGAAATTGGAGGGGGAGACGAACCATGAGAGACTATGGACTCTGAGAAACAGAGGGTTCTAGAGGGGAGGGTGGGTGGGGGGATGAGTTAGCCTGGTGATGGGTATTAAAGAGGGCATGTATTAAATGGAGCACTGGGTGTTATACGCAAACAATGAATCATGGAACACTACAACAAAAACTAATGATGTAATGTATGGTGATTAACATAATAAAATTTAAAATAATTAAAAATAAAAATAAAAAATATTAAAAAACAAAAGCAAATAAAATAAAATGTAGATGGCAGTATCTCTTCACAGGTTTGATGAAACAGATCAAGGAAAAGAGAAAGAAGTATCTGTATTTGGAACAAGAACCTGGCATACAGTAGCACTCAATAAATACTACCTATTATCCATCAATTCATCCTTCCTGTACCCCCAAATGTTGAGTTTACTCTTGGTGTTTTATGCCCAAACTCTGTCACGTTTTTATGCCCACGAACAAACCTCATGTTTCTTCTTTAAAATCTGTGGTGAAAACTGAGACAATTATTTTAAATTATTTAAGGAGTAATTCAATTATTGCCACTGGTTAGCTATCTTTCCCAATGGATTCTAAATTCCAAACAGGTAGGAATTATGCCTAATTCATTTATACCCTAGTCTGGCAAATAAGCACTAATTTGAAGGCATGTTTCCTTCAAAAAAATATTCCTTCTCTTTAAAAATCTAGATAATTAGTAATAACTTCACAATGAAAAGAAGAAAGTTCCTGGAATTTTAGCTTTTGACCTTGGGAACTAGCTTGAAATGGCCTCTAGTCTTGCAGGATAAAAATTCAGAAAATGAAGGCTATGATCCAATAAAAGCCCCTGGGCCCTTAAGAAACATAAAGGGCAAACATGCTAATGTGCATGAGGGTAAAGAGCTTTTAACAGATTCCATCTCTGACAAATTATGACAAATATTGGAGGAAAAAAATTCTTTCTGGTGCTTTAGGTACTTACTGTTGGCAGGTTCAATAAATACCCACAGAGGCCAAATCAGGATGGTTTTGCATAATGTGCTGGGTATGCGAATGATACATGGGATGATTTTAGCTAGTGCATGAATGTACATTTGTTTCAATATTCAAGAGTTGAATATTTAACATTTAAAAAATGTATATGTAAGAAAAAATGTAACTAACACAGCACATCCTTGATTTCATGGCATTAACTGCCCAAAACAGTTAAAGTAGCAGCAGCTTCCTGGTAACTTCCTACAAAGCCCCCTCACAGGGATGATGATCAGGGATGCTCACCAGCACCCTGGCCACGTCCTTGCTGGGCTGTGCCACAGATTTCAACACCAGCTGGCAAAGAACTGGTGTAGAGAAGGTACCTATTTAATTAGAAAAGTATCAAGAAGGCTAAGGCAGATTGTTCTGAGTGTCAAAATCCGAATAAAGCTCAGTGAAAAGAGAGGGATAATTATGACATTATGCAAACCAAATCCCTGTAAGAGAGAGGTCATGGTCTCTTTATTACTGACTGATCATAAAACAGTATCATTCTTCTCAGGGAGGAACTTATTTCCAGGAAATATTTTAATAAATTGCTCACATTGACTATTACTAATAATTATTTTTATTCTTAAATTCTAATAGTTTGTTATTTTAATTGTATTTATTATCTGCTAGTTATGGTATGTAAAATTATTTTCCACTTATAGTAATAGTATATAAAAAGTTTATAAGGTCAATTTAAAAATAACAAGTTAGTACAGTTAGTACAAAAAATCTTTAATGTTTGAAAAAAACTAAGAAAGTGAAAGCAACAGTTAATGGTCATAATTAGAGACTTGGCTTTTTAAAATAAAATAAAGCCTCACCAGTACATATTTTTTTTCTTCTTCTGACTTTACAGCTAATCCAAAGCGAGACAAAGTCACAGGTATGTACATAAATCTTTCATTGTTCCATTAAGATCTATGTGAATTGTATTATTGCATTCTGAGAAACAACGTTTAAGAGGATATTTTATGTTTGTTTCACAGGTTACTACTCTATTGTGCATCCTGACTGGCCAGTATTTTCACGCAACAGATACCTATCTCTCTTTCTCACTGTTAGTCCACCAATCCTAATATTGAGTGCTATAATGATCATTTGGGTCAAGCACAAATACCCTCATTTAGTTCTTTCAAACTAATATAATCCACAAAAAAACCACAATTCATTCAGATATGTGTTTTTTTTTAAATTAACAGGTGTATTTTTTAGTTCTAATTTTAAAACATTTCAGAAAAAAATACGTTGTTGCAGTAAACCCTTAATAAAAAAACTGTTCAACTTCCTATCTCTAGAATAAACTCATTTTTACTTTCCACTTTTCTATGAATAAGCATTGTTTTCAGGCTGCCAAAGCTATGACTTTCAGTAAGTAACCCAGCCTCTGTATGTCTCAGCTCCTAAAACTACAAAATGAATGTGCTCGATTTAGGTGATTCTAGATAACTCCACTGACCCTCACTAGTAAAAACATTTCTACATAACTTGTTGCATGCTGCTTCAATTCTAAACATCTGGTCTCCCCACCCCCCCCACCCCCACCTTGCAATCTGAGGTCTTTGGTTTACCATTTTCCCAGATTCAGTATAGTAATTAAGGGATTTAAGGGGCCTTGCTTTTTTTGCTTATGGGTTGTTTAATCTTAAACATAATGTAGAATGAGATTATAAAAAGAAATAAGCCTAAATGTTCACTCGTTAGCAATAGAGAGAGCACTGCAAAATCTGCATTTATTTTGCTCAAAACCAAATGGTGGGACATGATTATATTTAAAGACTAACCAGTGGCATCAAACACTGGATTTGATGGATAATTACAATAGCCACATTCCAAAAATCTTTATATAAACAACCTAAAAATTACATCTAAAATCATGCTTAGGCAAAACACGCCAAAACAGGTTAGGTGCAATATATACAAAGACATATGTAGCACTTTCTAGCATAAAGTTTTCCAAAAACACACAGAGAATACAATAATTTATATTTATAAAGGACAGCTGTTTATATAAACACTGTTTTGAAGAATGACATAAACTCAGAAAAATGTGATCAGAGTATTCCTTCTCACATACAGGCTACTAATGCCCTAGTATCTCAAAATCCTTTACAAAAGGAGATAGCTTAAAAGGTTCTCATCCAGGGTTTTTTTTTAATGTTACTTTTTCTTCTTCTTCTTTTTTTCATCTGCTTCCATTTTAAGCTTAACTTCTTCAGCTGAAAGAGCTCCCAGTTTCTTATTCTTGGCTTTCTTAACCTTCTCCTTGATGGCAGCCACATCAATTTTATTTTCAGTAGAAGCTAAACAAATTAAAATGATATATGTAATTCTTTATAGATTTTACCATAGAAAACATAAAGAATATGTATTTGGTACAATAATTTCAGAGTACTGTTAAAAGGTGAAAGGTCATGTTGTAAAATATAAAACACCTGCCTAAAATATAAAACAACTGCCTAAAGGAAAGTTAGACACTGAAGAGAAAACAAATCATAAAGTACTTTAAAAATACATTAGTGAAAGTACACATGAAAATGGCACATTAGGGAGCCTAGGTGGCTCAGTTGGTTGGGCGACTGCCTTCGGCTCAGGTCATGATCCTGGAGTCCCGGGATCGAGTCCCGCATCGGGCTCCCTGCTCAGCAGGGAGTCTGCTTCTCCCTCTCCCGCTCCCCCCTCTTGTGCTCGCTCTCTCTCTCAAATAAATAAATAAAAATCTTAAAAAAAATAAAAAAATAAAAAATGGCACATTAATAAAGGTACAAATGAAAATGGCACTATAGTTTAGCTTTTTAAACTAATTACTGAATTCAACAATATTAAAACTTCATTTTTCCCCTTAAATTGCATTTGAGATTAGTTTTACTTATATTCTTTCCCATATTTTAGAATTGCAAGAGTATTCATTAAAATGCCAATTTTCGGGGCGCCTGGGTGGCTCAGTCAGTTAAGCGACTGCCTTCGGCTCAGATCATGATCCCAGGGTCCTAGGATCAAGCCCCACGTTGGGCTCCTTCCTCAGTGGGGAGCCTGCTTCTTCCTCTCCCTCTGCCTGCTGCTCCCCCTGCTTGTGCTCTCCCTCTCTCTATCTCTATCAAATAAATAAATAAAATCTTTAAAAAAAAAAATAAAATGCCAATTTTCCATTCTGCACATTAAAATAACTTAAAATTACATTTCATGAAGAATATTAACATGCAGCCCTTCTAGCTTCCATAATTTTAATTAACTAATCATTAAGCTTTAGGTCAAAATCTACTTCATCTAATACCATACATAAAAACTTAAAAAAATAGGGGCACCTGGGTGGCTTAGTCCGTTGGGTATCTGCCTTTGGCTTGGGTCATGATCTCAGGGTCCTGGGATCAAGCCCCACATCGGGCTCCCTGCTGATGAGTCTGCTTCTCCCTCTCCCTCTGCCCCTCCCCCTGTTCATGCTCTCCCTCTCTCAAATGAATAAAATCTTTAAAAAAGACAACTTAAAAATAAAGTTTTCCAAATATTAGTTCAATGAATGACTAGTAGTACTTTATTTAACAAGGTTTTGGTAATAAAGACAATGATCTGAGAGTATTTGGAGATTCTCGTAACAGAACCCAACCATGGAATCAATGCCAAAAGCTTGAACAACGGAGAAAAAAAATGTAGGTTTTTCTCACCCTTTAAAGAGCAGTATTCAGAGCATAGGAGAATCACAAGATAAAACATCATCAAACTTCCCAGCAACTTGAGTAGAGATGTAGAGCCTTCACTATCATAAAATAGCTACATTTTTAATCATTATAAATGGAGATTAAAATGGCTACTAAACGACCTTCAAAGTAAAACTCACAGGCTCAGCAAACTGGAAATTATAATGACATTTTTAACTTTTACATAACCAATGATCTACATAGAAGAATACAGTATTTTTAGAGCTATTAACATTGATATAATTAATATAGGATATTAAAATAGTAATGTTATGTCTGGTTTTGACCAATAAGTCAGGTACGATAATGCCAGTGACCTCCCTCCCCTCACTGTGTCACTGGCTACTCTGGAAATTTACTTCAGGAAGAGTACAAGTGTTACTAGTGGGAAAGAAAATGCAGAAGAGGAAAGGGTAGATCAAATGAGGCTAGGGATAGAAAAGATACAAAACTTTTCTGAGTGTTTTTTTTTTTAATCTTAGAGCATCGAGGAGGGAAGGGCAGAGGGAAAGAGAAAATCCTCTAGTGAACTCCTCGCTGAGCACAAAGCCTGACGTGGGGCTTGACCCCAGGACCCAGAGATCATGACCTGAGCCAAAACCAAGAGCCAGCCGCTTAACCAGCTGAGCCACCCAGGTGCCCCACTCTGACTTTTTAATAGCTCCTAAGATCTTGTTATTTTGATGGTGTCCTTTAGCCCACGGTGATCAGAAATCCATCATAACAATATAGGAATCAAACTTTAAGCCATGGATCACATAAGTAAAGAGAAGAAAAGCATAACCTCTGATAAGCTCTTTCTGAGAGGCATGATAACAGAGCTCGGGGATCTCACTGCTTTAGTTACTTTTAAATCTATGGAAGATTCACTGCTCTAAGTTCATAGCTTTCACAACAGAGAGTCCTTCTCCAGCAGGCAGTCTGCCTCTCCCTCTGCCTGCCGCTTCCCCTGCTTGTGCTCTCTCTCTGACAAATAAATAAAATCTTAAAACAAAACAAAACAAAAAAAACCCCAAAGTGTCCTTCTCCAGCACAATCAGAGGTCAGGAGAGGACTGTCAATCCAGGACATTCTTAAATAGGCACTAGCTGCTAATAAATTATAGAACACCTCAGTGGTCTCGTCCCTAGGATTAGTGATTAATGAAATGTCAACAGAATTGATGAAAGATATAGTTATGTCTTTAGTTAACACTCAAAGAGATTCAGACAAATTCCCTATGGGTTTACTTTTCAGCTAACAGACTTTAACATCAAACCAATAATTGGAAAACAAGCATTTACCTTCCCTTGGTTTCACAACTGGTTTTTCCTTAGGTGGAATAAAAGCTTTGTTTCTTTCCTCTTGTCTTTTACTAAGAGCTTCTGCTTGTTTAGCCTGCATTATTAATAAGAAATACATTAATAACACAATTTATCATTAAACAGGAATTCAAATTTCTATGAACTGTGCTATCGATGTTGTGAGCTAGACACAGTCTTACCTTTATGGCTTCCATTTTCTGCCGCTTCTTTTGACTTGCCTTCAGAAAATATTCACCACTAGCCAATTCTTTATCAATCTGTTGAAATCAGTATTTACAATTACATCAGAAATAAGGTAAATGAGAAGTCATCCCTAAGAAAGGCACAATGTCCTTGAGGTAAAGACAGTGAGGTCAAAAATTTATGTTCAATTCATAAAGGCACTGACATAAAAAGGAGATGTGCTCTATGCTGAAGGGAATACAAGCAATAAGCATGGAGGTAGGAAAGAAGGTGATGTGTTCATGAAATATACAGCAGGCAGTTTTAGATGGGCTAGAAGATCAATGATTCAGAAAGGTGTGAGGAAACTAGAAACATAATCTGGGGTAAGCTTGAAGAAACCTGAATGCCAGGTGAGAGGGTAGGCTATGATTTAGAAATGACTCCAGGTTTCTGAGAGAAAAGAAAGAGACCAAAGCAGCATTTAAAAGGTACAGAAGAAAGAAGAGATAAACGCTTGAAATAAAGTATGGCATGCAAAATGAAAGGCAAGAATTGTTAGGATTTGGTGACTAATTCAATACTAATTAGAGAAAGCACTAGCTTATTCATTCAATATATAATTGACTTATCTCACACTTACACAGCATTATTATATCTAAGGCAATGTTTTAAAACTCTTAATAGTTACTAAGCTCTTTACAATTACTAATCATTTAATCCTCATTAACAATCCTTTGAAAAAGATGTTTTTATTATCCCCATTTTATGTATAGGGAAACTGAAGCACGGATGGGTTAAATAAATTGCCAGTCATGAAGCAAGTAAGGTGGCAGAGTAAGTCAACTGAGACATCACTGTTTTAAGAAGCTTAGCCATAGGGAAGAAAGATAAGACAATTAATTACTAACTACAGGACAGGGCCATAAGAAGTATACCAGGTGTTACGGAATGACAGTTGGGTAAATAAGATCACTCTGCTTTCCCCCAACAAACAGTTTCTTTGTTTGCTTCCCTTTACAGAATAGACCTCATGAACCAACACTTCCATTGTTTTATCACCATGATCATTACTTCTTTTTCCCCTCTGACCTTTCATCAAACCTCTGAAATTCAAACTCCAAATACAGGGCTATGGAAAAGACAAGACAGTACACAGAAAGGGATGTGTTTACATGCTGAGAACAAAGCACTAGTAGAAAGGAAAGACTTTAAGATACAGCCAAGGGAGGGAATCATGAAATAAGATCCCTCAGGAGACAGGCTCAAAGACAGAACTCAAAGAACAGGTAAAGAGAGAATTGGTTCAGATGGGGAAAAAATAATTATCGGTGAGAGAAAAGGAAGCTGGAGGAATTCTCACTTGATGGTCTTAAATATGTCCATAAAATAAAACGGACGTCATCTGCTAGGAGTGAGAGGGTGCTTCAAGACTTAAGAGGGCAGGGGAGCCTCGGCGGCTGAGTGGGTTAGGCGTATGCCTTCCACTCAGGTCATCCTTCCCTTGGGCTCCCTGCTCAGCATGGAGTCTGCTTCTCCCTCTCCCTCTGCCTGCAGCTCCCCTGCTTGTGCTCTCTCCCTGTCAAATAAATAAAATCTCAAAAAAAAGAAAAGAGAGAGAGAATTAAGAGGACACGCAGAATTACCAGACAATAGTGAGGACCTACCAGAGGTTGGAAACGTGAAATTATAGTGGATTTAGTCCAAAGATAAGATGTTCTCCAGCTATGTTTAGTAGCCACATTATGGGAAAGAAGCCAAATTTTAGGACTGATCAAGTTTGAGAGTTTTGCTGCACAGGTGTGAAAAGAAGGAAAAGGCAGCATACAAGAAACAGTGATGGACAAGAGAGAAAAGGAAATTTGGGGGAAAAAATGAAGCCAGAAAACAGGTGATAAAATGAGAGGCATTCATAACTTAGAAAAAGGATGGATGTGAGAATTTAAGATTTCAAAACTGGAGCAGTCATATAGCACATGGTCACAGGAAAGATGCTAAAGCAGCGTGAGAGCATTAAGGGTTAAATCGTTAAAATTTTTTTCATCCATGGAACAGGTACTGTGGCTATAGGAGCACAACTGACAGCAACCACCTAGACATAGTTTACACTCCTACTGTGAAGCCCCCACCCTCCGCGCTCACGCACTTAGCTCAAAATAAGCCTATTTACACTTACCTTTAGTTTCTTATACCTGGACACACACATACAAAATCTACCTAAATTGCTCTCCATAAAGTTTCCAACAAAATAGATTAAAATGGTTTCCCCCTCACGTAAAGAAATTCAACATTTAATACTGACCTGACTTTCTGGCTGTGGTGGTGGGAATGGTGTGTACTCTTTCTTGACAGTTTTTTTCTTTGGTTCCTTGCGTTTATTCACATTCTTGTGCTTAAACTGTGGCAAAAATCTTTCCCAACTTTGTGATCTTAATTCAGAATCTTTTGCCAACTCTCGTTTAATCATTAAGGTCTTTAGTCATGGGGATATAAGAACAAAGTAAGAATTTTTAATTTTATAAGCCAAGCATTTGTCAAACTAAGACATTACAAATACTGTTCCTATAAATAATTCAATTAAAATGAGTAGTTCTTGGGGCACCTGGCTGGCTCAGTTGGTTAAGTGTCTGCCTTCAGCTCAGGTCATGATCCCAGGGTCCTGGGACTGAACCCTGCATCGGGCTCCCTGCTCAGCGGGGAACCTGTTTCTCCCTCTGCCTGCAGCTCCCCCTGCTTGTTTGTTCTGTCTCTGCCAAATCAATAAATAAAATCTTTAAAAAACAAAACAAGGGGCGCCTGGGTGGCTCAATCGTTGAGCATCTGCCTTCAGTTCAGGTCATAATCCCAGAGTCCTGGGATCAAGCCCCACATCAGGTTCCCTGATGGGCGAGGAGCCTGCTTCTCCCTCTCCAGCCCCCCCCCGCTGTGTTCCCTCTCTCGCTGTCTCTGTCGAATAAACTAAAAAAAAAAAAAAAATTTTTTTAAATTAAAAAAACAAATAAAAAACAAAACAAAACAAAAAAACCCGAGTAGTTCTTAATCTCCTCAGTAGGAGAAAACAATTCCATAAAAAAAAGTAATCTCAAACCAAGCATCAGAAAACCATTAGAAACTTAGATTAAATGCAGAACTGCCGGGTGCCTGGGTGCTGTCAGTTAAGTGTTTGCCTTCGGCTCAGATCATGATCCCAGGACTCGGGATCGAGCCCCAAGTTGGGCTCCCTGCTCAGCAAGGAGCTTGCTTTTCCCTCTCCTCTGCTTCGCTCCTCCCCCTCTCTTTCAAAAAAAAAAAAGAAAGGCAGAACTGTTCAAATAAACTGAGATGACACTAATTCAGCTTTTCAACCATTAGTTCATTAAAACCTTTAAAATTCAACTTATTAGGAGGAGAGTTCTTAATTAGCAATGTTCCCTGAAAGCAGGAAGTTTTTGGTAGTACTTTAATTATCACAGGGAAAGAAAAAAGTAAACTTTCTCTTGATCAGATAAAAACAATATTCTCATATTTCTCCTACTCCATTTGAGTTTTGCACACATTGGGACATCAAAGGATGCAAACCAGGCATCAGATACAAGACAAGCTCTCTTTATCTTTAATGTCCCAAGGCAACTCAAAATCATTCTTTCACCCCAATCTAAGAGTGACTTCATAACTTCATCAAATTTAAGTGGACTGCTTAACAAATACCCCTCACAAAATAGTTCATTACAGCATGTTACATTTCCAAGTATAATCATGAATGCTGTGCACACAGGGATTAACATCTCTCTCAAAGAGTTTCTAATTTGAGCGTTAAATAAAAAGTTTTAATACAATCTGAAATATCCCAGACTCTACTTAATAGAAAAAGGCAGAATTCTGAAAGATCACATCTTTAAATATAGTAATAGGCCCATCATCCAAGAAAACCTGATTGTTATCATCTACAACCAACTCTACGAAACTTACTGCCTTTGTATTAGAACTATGTCATACATTACAGGATCCCCCTTCAATAGTTTTCAGACTGCACACCACAGAAACCTAAGTCTCCAAGGATGTAACTACAGGACTAGGGTAGAGTTGAGTGGGCTGAACTCTACCTCTAATTTACCCTAAATACTTCTACTTTATCTATTTCTTGCATTAGGCTTCCATAAAAGATTTAATTTCAAGAAAGGTTTCTGTAGCTAAAAGAAGTCTGACAACCACTGTTAGAGTAATATAAACTCACTTTAATGTTATAAATTGGATGAATATTCTTCATAGTATCTAGGACTACTTTTCGAACCTGAAATTTGCAAAGAAAAATGAATTAGTCACAAAGATTTTAACTAAGTGCAACTAAGTGAAAGGGGATTAATATACTGCAACATATCCTATGAACCGAGCAATGACTACCAAATTGAATATAGTAGTTCCTTCAACTGCTTTGAGTGACTTCTAGATCTTTCGTAATAGTCAACCTCTCTTGGACGCAATGAAGTTTCTCAACTTTACTGCTAAAATATAACATATAGAACTAATACAACAACATTTTGGAACTGTGGAATTTAGGCAGAAGGCAGCTAGATTTAGAGTCAGAAAATACGTGCTCAAATAATGGGAATGCCACTTCATAAGGTAAAGTCCTGTTCCAGCTTTCTCATCTGTAGTATGGAAATAAAACTATCTCAAGGCTCTGCTGTGAAAACTAAATAAGATAATATAGTTAGACTTTACAAAACTATAGGGTATTCAATATACTTAAGTTATTATTGCCACATGAGAAAAGGGCAGATAACTTATGAGAAAGAGGTCTAACACATCTGCTATTATGAGTCCTAGAAAGCAAACAAGACCTCATAGCCAGATCCAGACAACCAAAGCAGTTAACAGAAACCAAAATTGCTCCACAGATTTTCTCATAACACTAAATCTGACAGATAAAAAAGTTCATCAATACATTAAATAAACATTCCAATAAAATTCAGACAAAAATATATATTTTAAAGATGGTTTCAGAATCTGACCTCTACTGGTTTATATAGGTTACTGCAAATGACAATTATCACCATTTAATTCTCTAATCACTTGAGCACATGTAACTATGTATTTCCCAAATGTGCTACAGACTAAAATCTTAAAAACCCACTTAAAATTTGTAGTGGAAAGAGGTATGATATGCAGACCTTCTAATTCGGAAATGGATACTCTTTAGTTGCCAAAGGTTGGCCATGTATGTTAGGATCTAGGAATGATGATTCCCTCAAACAACATGAAGCACAAAGTATTTACCAATGGGAAATCAAACAAAGCACATTCTATATTATCCAATGAACTCTTATAACCAAATTACTTAATTTGTTCTCTGCTGAAAATTCACAGAAGATAGTAAACAGTACTCACCTCTTTTAAGCCACTAAAAGGTCCAATGACTGAAACTGTGTTTCCCTGAACCATAATATAACAGTTTGTTAAGAGTTCCAAAGCCTATATCAAAAGAACAGTAAGTTGAAATTCAGTACACTGAAAAACTAATGACAGAGGAAGACACTTAAGTTTTTCACTGATAAAAAAGTACCTTCAATGTAGATCCTTTGGGACCAATGAGACGTTGTCTTCTTTTCACAAATCTTTCTTTATTTCTTACTAAAGAACCTATTTTAATGATGTCACATGCAACATCATCCTGAAGAATTCGTACTGCCTTTTGGAAAAATGAAGAAAATATTCCATCAATATTCTTTACAAATGCATTTATTTTCAAGGCCCAGGCTAATGAAATCGAAGCAGAAAAATGAAAACTCTAAGAGGGAAGGATGCAGTGCTATATGTTATCTCTAATGTTGACGCAAATAAAGCAAATTTTGTAATTCTAAATTTACCTGTTCAAATGAAACACTCCTTGCTAAAAGTTTTATTAGGTCTCTGGCCCTGATGATGATATATGGATCAAAAGTCTTCTTTGTTGTACACACAGTCATACTGCCCTCAATCAGGTCCAGGGTTGCATTAAGGTGCTGCAAAAAGGAAAGAGCAAATACACAATTGTCTAAAAATCACTTCAATTTTAGGTAATTATAGAGCCTATCCTAATCAAACTACTAATTACTGTAAATTAAGTTCTCATTCTATCAACTCCCTCCTTGAAGAAGCTGAGTAGTTGATATAAATAATGAATACTTGATTACTTTCATATTTCAAAGAATATAAGAAACACGCAACTGAAAGCATTATACGTACTTTAGGATACTTTGTACTTATTGGAATAAAGATTACTTCTAGTTTAAAAAATATGTATCAATGCAAATGAAGCCAAAAATGTAAAGCTACATATAGCTCCCCTATCCTGGACCCAGCTCTGATCTGCCATCTGTTCCTTAGGGTGAGAATGGACTTTCCCTTTCAAACTTCTTTCTAATTGGTTTCTATTAGCTAAATACAAAGTCAAAACAAATTCTCACAGGTTCAGAAAGAAGCAATAACTGGAAAATCATGCATTAACTCTTAGTAGGAAGAACCAGATTTCTACAAAGCAAATTAAAATGTCATTTTCTGACTGGAGCATACTCTGAAGAGTATTTCAATGCAGTGAGTGATGAACAATTCAACATAAGGTTGGGTCTCTCTGAGTTTACAAGAGTCCAATCTCAGATACAGACAGCTGTAAAACAGCTTGCGGTTTGCTGAACCACCGTAATACCTAACGGGCACAAACAACTCCAGAGCAGTCACACAGTTGAAATATACATTTTATTTTATTTTATTTATTTTTATTTTATATCACCACCTAGTGTGTGCACATGTGCCCAAATACACACATATACATGAACCAAAAGTTTCATAAAATGAAACTTATCCTTACCATATGTGATACATTATTTTTTTTCTTTTTACTTATTTATTTTTTGGGTACATTCTTTTTTTAAAAGGCTCATTGTATCCACTAAATGGACTTCTTGCTCCACTAATGAATTTTAATCCACAGTTAGAAAAACAAAAACAAATATACTGTTCTAGGGAAATAGCAGCAACATACAAGGGAAAGTTGGCCACATCCCCATCTTTCATTTAAAATGAAAATTAAGGGGCGCGTGGGTGGCTCAGTCGTTAAGCGTCTGCCTTCGGCTCCGGTCATGATCCCAGGGTCCTGGGATCGAGCCCCGCATCGGGCTCCCTGCTCAGCGGGAAGCCTGCTTCTCCCTCTCCCACTCCCCCTGCTTGTGTTCTCTGTCTCTCTCTGTCAAATAAATAAAAAAATCTTAAAAAAAAAAAAATTGAAAATTAAGAAATCATCCAGGAACATGCCTCAACTTGAACTATACAGGAACATGGCAAGTATCACAGTATAGAATAGGCATCCTGAAACTTGGGAGTTCACAGTTGAGATTCAGAAAGTCCATGAGATCCCTAAATTTTAAAGGTATGTGAATTTTTCAAAGTAATCTATTACTGACAAAATTAAAAACAAGTGGAATATAAGAATAAAGCTTAGGGCGCCTGGGTGGCTCAGCAGGTTAAGCGTCTGCCTTCAGCTCAGGTCATGATCCCAGGGTGCTGGGATCGAGCCCCACATCGGGCTCCCTGCTCAGCAGGTAGCCGGCTTCTCCCTCTCCCTCTGCTGCTCCCCCTGTGCTCTCTCGCTCTGTAAAAAAATAAAAAAATAAAAAAAAATAATAAAATAAAATAATAAAATAAAATAAAACAAAAAGAATAAAGCTTATATTTAGGCTGTTTAAAATACCAAGGGAACCAGGGGTGCCTGGGTGGCTCAGCTGGTTAAGCGTCTGACTCTTGATTTCGGCTCAGGTCATGATCTAAGGGTTGTGAGAACAGGTGCCATGTTCACCGCAGAATCTGCTTGGGATTCACTCTCTCCCTCTCCCTTTGCCCCTCCCCCCAATCACTCATGCACACGACACTCTCGCGCTCTCTCTCAAGATTTTTCTTAAACAAAAACAAAAAACAAAGGAACCAAATTAACCAGTTATGCCAGTACCTTAAAAAAAAAAAAATCTATCAGCATACATACTTATTTAAAAGTAAAGGTATAAGAACAGAATCTCAAAGAAATATATAAAATGTGCATACATGTTCATTCAAGGCTTTCTGTACCAATGGCCAGCACTCTTTCAGGTAAGCCTCCCTATATTTTGGGAACAAAGTTGCAAAACTGCTCTCTTCCAAGAGTCCTCTGGGATTGTCCTCTTTGGAAAAAGCCGGTTCCTTCCAACCATCAGGAACAGTGAGGAGTTCTGATTCATCTGAAGAGGGGAAGAAACTTACACATAAGATTTTAGCCTTCTTTTGGACACTTTTTTGCATACATTTACATGCTTCCCAATACTCTCCTTGTAGTTCCTGTTCCTATGCTCTTTCGTCAACAAAGAACATGCCTCGGTCATTATCATCAATACACTGTATTAAAATTAACTGCAGATACTTCAGCCTCGTAAGACAAAGTTCCTTAAGGGCAGGACCCTCCTTGGATCCACAGTAATTAGCATATGCCTGACAGACAGTGGGGTACTCCAGAAACTTCTATTGCATTAAACTATTAAAGATCCAAATACCCCTTGGTTTACATGACTATTTTCAATATAACCTTTTAGACTTTCCTGAATTGCAGCCTTGTGTGTGTATATATATATATACATGCATATGCATATATATTTGTGTTTGTGTGCACACACACACACATATACTTTCAGTTACCAATCACTGGTACAGGGTTTTAGACTTTCCAAAGAGTTTTCATATGCCTTATTTCTGTATACACCTTCATGACAACTGTGAAAGGTAGTAGGAAGAACCAGTATTATTTTCCCCGTTTTATAAAAGACATTCAGTCCAAAAAGATGAGTGACTTGTCTAAGGGGACACAAAGGTGATTCAGTCTAGGTCTCCTTTTAATAAAACAAAATGTCTCCTAAGGGCCATATATGATCTCCTACATCATTTATTAAAACTCCTGGTCCTGGATTTTAGGAATCTCTTAAATCTAACAGCTATGCTTTAATTCCGTACTCCTCAAGGGTATGACCCACAGGCCTGCAGCATCAGCATGAACTAGGAGTTAGTCAGAAATGCAGTTCTTGGACTCCAACTCAGACCTACCAAATCTGAATCTCTGGAATGAGCCCCAGGAATCTGTGTTTTAATAATCTCATCAGGAGATTCTTATGCACACTAAGTCTGAGAAAAGGGCCTTTGTTAAACTTGCTTGTAAACTTGCTTCTCTTTCTTATACTCACATCTACTTTGTTATTTCTGGTTCAAATCACAGAGAATTAGCTAGTCTTCATACATCACTTCCCAATATCCTTAAAAAAACAAAACCCCTCCAATTCTATAACTGTGATTACTTAAAATGTTTATCTTACCAAGTTTCTACCCAATTTAAACACTGCAGTGGCTACAAATTAAAAAACAAAAACAAAAAACCTAGCAAAGAAATACACAGGCGTTTTACAACAGAGGAAGTGCAAATAGCCCAAAAAACATGTGAAAAGATATGCAACCTCACTACTAATAAGGAAAATTCAAATTAAAACCCCAACCAGACACCATTTCATACTTACCAAAATGACAGAAATTCAAAATGCAGATAATATCAAGTGCTAGTGTGGATGTAGAGCAGTAAGAATTCTCATCCACTGCTAGTGGAAGTGTAAACTGACACAACCCCTTTGGGAGTGATTTACCATTACCTGCACATACCCTAACTTTCATGGATTCCAGTCCCACTTACATAATCTGAAGAAAACTCTTGAACATGCAAACCAGGAGATACACAAAAAGATGTTTATAGGAGCATTGTTTATAACAGCAAACAATGGGAACAATCCAAATGTCCACCAACAATAGAATGATAATATAAATAAGTGTATATTCATAGAAGAAAATCTCATCAATATCAAATGAAAAGAATAAACTACAGCTACAAGTATCACCTTGACTCAGTAAGAAAAACAAAGTTTAGCCTAAGAAGCCAGAAGAATGTCTACAGTGCTCTTGCATTCATATAAAATTCAAAAACTGACAAAATCAAACCACTTCATGCATAGGTGGTAAAGATTATGCAGAGAACAGAAGATCAAAACGATTCAGGATGGTTACCTCATGTCCTGTAAAGGAAAAGAATTATGATCTGGGAGGTGCTCCTAGGGGGGTCGGGAGTATGGTAATGCTTTTTCTGCGTAATGGTTTTGAGTGCTCCTTTCTCACCTGTTGTGTTTATTCTTCAAACTGTACATAGACTGTACTCTATGTTACATAATTAAAAATAACAGAACTCCTTTAATACTTCCCTAATGCCTACAGAATGTGAGTTCAAGGTTTATAACACTTCCAATAAGACTGGTTGCTCGGGTCTTGAGCTACTTCTCTAGCCTCTCTTCCTGTCATTCATACTGAAGAAAATGTATAAAACCAGACTACAAAGGAAGACAGCAATTTACAAGTAGGGCAGTCTAAAATTAGAGTACGAGTCGTGTCGTCTAATATTTTAGCGGTTTGACGAACAGCAATGATGATAATGTTACAAAATTTCACTAACGGACAAACTAGCGTTAAGAACACGCCAGACACCTCCTTCTCCTATCTGTCTCACTCCTTTATAATCAGCGTTCACTCATATATACAACGACCTCCTATTCCTACCCCATTCCATCTCTCATTTTGTCAACGACTTCCAGCCACCGCCACGAGCGTAAGATCCTGCGGCGCCCTCCACGATTTCTTAATCCTCTTCCTTTGACAGAAGACAAACTCTGCAACATCTTTACTTTGAAAAGCCTCTAGCAAAAGCGGTTAGGAACACGTGGCTGGCACCATACCTGCCAGTCGGTCCCGCAGGCTTGGCCATCATCCCCAATCCTCAACAATGGTAGGTACTCAACTTCACAGAACACACTAAGGCAGCGTTACACGTCCCCAGCCAGCGGAAAAAAACAATCATAACTCAATATCCTAATATCAGGTTTCAGTTCTCATTCAACCTTACCTCGGTTCTCCGGCTTCGGCTTCTTGTTACGAAATAATTCACTTTTCCCGTCCGCAGCGGCCGGCCCGTTGAAGGAGGAAGACGCCATCTTCAAATTGCTTCCGGTGTTACCGGAAGTGGAACTGTTCTTAAATCCTACCGGATTTTAGTCCTGAAAATCTGTCTATTCAAATTGAGTTCCGTAGAACTTAGACGCCATCTCCGTGCGTGCGTACGCTAAAGCCCGCGTTATTTGCACAAACTACAAGCGTTTCTCCTGCGTAGCCAATGAAGAGCCGGAGACGTCTTTCCCAGGATGCATGGCAACCACGGAGTTTAGCTGCATGCTGGGAATTGTAGTCCAGGACTATGGGCAAGGGGAGCCTGTCTTACCCGTAGTTTTCTCTTGGTCCCGGTATCTTACTTAGGACCCCGAACTCCAGAGTTTGGCTATATTAGCGCAATCGGTCTATCCTTGATGTCACTCAGTCATTCATTTGATAATATTTATGTGACTGTCAAATAAGTGCTAGGTCTAAATACGAAAATACATAATCCTTGACGGCAGGGAGTGACAGTAATAGCTAACATTTATTGTGAAACTACTTTTCGCCGGCACTTTATCTGCATTTCTAATTCTCAAACAACATTAAAACAAACAAAACTCCCTAAGATTGATAATTTTTTGTAGGATAATTTTTAAAAGTCTTTGTTTCTGGTGGTAATTTCCTAGAGTCTTGGTATACCTCTTTCTAAGCCAGAAGGATAGTAACTAAGTGACACTTCTGAAGAGTTTCACCTAGCCTAAGATTTCCCAAATACCTCAAGATGTGAAGGGTGGCTCAGACGGTTAACTGACTCTTGGTTTCAGCTCAGGTTATGATCTCAGGGTCCTGAGATCAAGCCACAGGTCAGGCACTGCACTCAGCGCGGAGTCTGTTTGTCACTCTGCTCCTCCCCTGCTCACACATTCTCTCTCTCTCTCTCTCTCTCTCTAAAATAAATAAAATCTTAAAAAAAAAAAAAAGAGGTATGTCTTGTAAGTGGCAGGCCATGATCGCATCCCTATATTCTTGCAATTTACTCAAAAAGCAATGACAAATCCTGGGGCACTTGGCTGGCTCAGTCAGTAGAGCATGCGACTCTTGTTCTTGGTGTTTTGAGTTTAAGCCCCAGGTTTCGTGTATAGATTACTTAAAAATAAAATCTTAAAAAAAAAAAAAGCAATGACAAATCCCTATAATAAAACAAATAACAACAGGGGAAAGTAATAAAGTAAGAATCAACTCCTTCAGTGTTCCCAGGAATCCTATGAAGCAGATTTTTATTACTGCTATTTTAAGGAACTCAGTCACTAATAGGTGGTGAGCTAGACATCAAGTCCAGGCAGTCTGACCATTAGCAGTTTCAGAAAGGCTACTAAAAGGATTAATTGTTACAAATGTGTTGGAAGGAGGACTGGGTTTTCAGCCTCATAGCTTTTGAATTTGAGGGCATTAGCTCTTCTGTGGATCTCCAGCCTGCTGTCCCACCATGCAGACATTGGACTTGTAGTGGAGTTCATCCAAATAGCTGATAAGCATATGATGCTTAACCTCACTACTGTCTTAAAAGCATGTAAACATAACTGTGAAATATCACTTCTCACCCACTAGACTGGCAAAAAATAAATAATAAATACATATATTTTTAAATGATAATCTGATGGAAGAAAGTGCACTCTCATACACTGCTGGTGAAAATGCAAACTGTCACTGCCTTTTTGCAAAGCAATCTATCAATATAAAATATACACATATTCTTCCACAGTAATTCCACTCCTGGAAAACTGTCAACTAGAAGTAAACCACCATTCCATTAGAATGTGTGTATAACTGTGTCATTTACTGCTTGTGTAGAAGCAGTTCAGTGAAAGGGACTATGGGGCCACACCCACCAGTAAGTTTCTTACCCATCCCTGTTCAGTTTCCTGTAACAGGAAAAATAACCTTAACTCTGTGACTTTATACATTAAAAATGCTAAAAAAAAAAAAAAAGCGCTTCACATTTGGTACATATTCAGTGTTAGCTATTATTTATTTAAGGTGGCAAAAAAGTAAAAGCATCTTGACTATCAATTAGAGATATAGTGAAATAAATTGATATTACTTCCATAGTGGTGAGATATTATGCAACCATTCATAAGAATTAATTAAATCTAATGAAGAGATTACCAGAGGCATTGAGTGATAAAAGCCAGATACAGTACATATATAAATTGTTATATGTAATTATTTATATAATTATCCCATTTTAAAAATAATTATCCCATTTTGGGGGCACCTGGGTGGCTCAGTTGGTTAAGTATCCAACTCTTAGTTTTGGCTCAGGTCATGAGATCGAGCCCTGAGTCGGGCTCCATGGTAGGTGTGGAGCCTGCTTAAGATTTTTGATCTCCAAGGGATGCCTGGGCGGCTCAGTTGGTTAAGCGTCTGCCTCTGGTTCAGGCTAGGGTCCCAGGGATCCCAAGGAACCCATTGGGCTCCTTGCTCAGCCGGGAGCCTGCTTTTCTCTGCCTGCCACTCCCCCTGCTTGTGCTCTCTATCTCTCTGACAAATAAGTAAATAAAATCTTTAAAAAGAAAGAAAAAAAGATTTTTGCTCTACCTCTCCTTCTGCCCCTCTCCCATCCAACTTTCGTGCTCTCTCTCTCTCTCAAAAAAAAAATTATCCCCTTTTTTTTTTTAAGATTTTATTTATTTGACACAGAGAGAGAGAGAGAAAGAGAGAGCACAAGCAGGGGGAGCGGCAGGCAGAGGGAGAGGGAGAAGCAGACCTCCCGCTGAGCAAGGAGCCCGATGTGGGGCTCGATCCCAGGACTCTGGGATCATGACCTGAGCCGAAGGCAGAGGCTTAACCGACTGACCCAGACAGGCACCCCAAATTATACCATTTTTATACCATTTTATTGAGCAGCTATAATGTTTCAGGTTCTGTTCTAAATACTTTGTTCTATGTGCTAGATATAATAATTATATGTATGTATGTGTGTATATGTGAATATATGTTTGTATGTGATCATACAAAAAAAGATTTGGAAGGCTACACATCAAGGTTATAGCCTGGCTATCTTAAGGATGAAAGCAGAAAAGAAAAAGGAAGTAGGCAAAAAGATTAAAAAAATAGGTAAAAAAATAATCATCTTTAGAAAAATAATGTCAACAAAAGTAAAGGAGTCTGCATGAAAGCCTGGAAAATCTGGGAATCTAGGAGAGACCAAATTTGAGAAATATATTCAGCCAGTCTTGGAATGTTTGCTGTGCAACAAAATGTTTCATGTGTCATGGTGTTGGGATAAAATATGCTTGCAGGATATCAACCTCTTCCCGCAAGGCCCCATTTAGCAAACTCTATAGATACGGACAAATGATGTATGGCTTTGGCTGATAACCAGCTTGAGTAAATACTTAACCAACTTCTTTTTCTTCAGTTGTAAAAATGAGAGAGTTGAGTTAGATTATTGCTTCTTAAAATTTAGCCAACCTCAGACTCACATGGAGGGGTGACCCCATTCCCAGTTTATACTTCGGTAGGCCTGGGGTAGGGCCCAAGAATTTGCAGCCTGGAAAACAAGGAATTATCCAAACCCAAAATGTCAGTACTGCCAAGGTTGAGAAACTTGGGTCTACAGGTATTCTTAATTTCTGTGATTCTACTTCAAAGGGCTAGTAAGGGCTTTATTCCAAACCAGGCATGCATTGAAAGTAAAGTTTTTTCCCACTTTTTACCTACCTAGGGCAGAACTTGCCTGGTATCAAAGCCAAAGTTTCCAGATGGCTGTTCATTATTATGCTGGGCTCCGTGATGGGCAATCCTGCTCCATTTTCCTCAACTCTGCCCGTCATTCTGGAATTCTGTTGTCTCATTACCCAAACAATGATACTGGTACATACAGCGGATGCTTAAGGTCTAAAGACACCTATTACCACTTGAATATTAGTCTCTCTGGGCCCCCGGCCCACAGAACATTAATATTTCCTTGGGCCTCTCCTACTATTTCCAAGGCAATCTCCCATCTTTCTTTTCTTGATTGTTCTTATTGATAAGCAACTGCTTTGATTTAATTTTCAGTTATAATATTCTTCCCCCTAAAGGAAAGCTGGAACACATTTCATGATATTAGGTTCCACCAAAGCAACAGAAGGCTTTTTAATGCATGCATGAATATTCAAGATTTAATCAGTGGCATGTGAAATGTATTGATACTGCTGAGAATTATTATTTTATGCAAATAGAACAAGCAAACTACAGTCTTTATTTGTTTACATGACACCGGGGGAATATTTGAACTTCCCTAAGAAGCAGATTTCTAGTCATTTGTTAAATCTATATGCTTCTCCCATCCTTCAGACAGTGGTAACCACAGATGGCCCTTGATGAAATGAACTTTTTTTTTTTTATGAAATGAGCTTTTTAGATTATGTATTTCAAACATTTAATGGGTTTATATTTAAACAAATCATTTCATGATGTTAGTAAGATGGCAACATGGCTTCTCCATTGTTTCAAAATCTCAAATTAAAAGTGCAGTTATCTGATACACTTAGAGACTGGAAATTCAGATTTTAACACTACATTTTTGCTTTTGATTATCTATCAGTGATTTTAATTTCTTTTGGTTTCTGAGTCCCTTTACTAATGTGATTAAATCAATGGACTCTTTCTCCAGAAAAGTACATATATTTGGGTACACATATCATTTTACCCACAGTTTGATGGATATTCACTTTTCTGTCACACTCTTTCATAAAACCCCTGCAGGATCAAGCCATCAGGTTAGGTTAGGGACCCTTGCCTTAAAGCAACACGGGAGAAGGTCTCAGACACCCAGATCTGACCTTAGGAGCACTCAAATCCCCTGCTCTTGGAGTTCTCCAGAAGACACAGAATTAGAATTTTAGTATGCTTTAGTACTTGCATATAAGTATACTTCTCAAGATTCCTTTGATTGCAAATCATAGAAATTTAAATTAACAAGTAAAAAAGTGGATTTATTGTCCTACATACCTGGGAACTAGACCTAGGACCTCAACAATGCCATAGAGATATTCACGCTCTTTCTCTATCATAATATCTCTCTCTTTCTGTGTGTCCTTCCATCTGTTGGCTCTGTTTTTTCTGTGCTGTCACAAAAACACACT